TTATGCTTTGATTGGTTGAAGAGCTGACTGGTCAACCAGACAGCATGTTAGGCTTTTATTATATAGGATTGGAGGTAGGATGCTCAAGCATCCCAAAGCAGAGAGTCTATTAGGAAATTATAAGAGTGGTCCAGATAAGAGATAAAGGCTAAAACTAAGAAACAGAAGAAAATATGGACATATTTCAACAAAATTGAGCCAATTATTTTCTCTTCTATTACATAAGCTAAGCAATACAAGCAAATAGTCCTTATGCTTAAAAAGTAGTCTAGTGAGAAATCTAAACAAAATAGGAAATTATAATAAAGTACAGTAAGTATAAGACCATGTACAATAATAGGCTGTTACATAAGATTTTACAGGTGCAGGTTTGGGACATAAAAGTAGAGAATGCTTCTTCTTCTGGAGGAAATTATGTCTAAGGTGAGATTTGAAGAATGAGGAAGAGTTAATAAGGCAAAGGAAATGGGAAGGTGGGAATGATTTCAAGAAACATTTCAAGATAGAAGAATAGGAGGAGAGGAAGAAAAATCTCAAGTTTGTAGTTTGAGTGACTAGATGACTAGTGATGTCACTGAGAAAGGGAAATAAAAGAGATAACGGAAGTGATCAGGGAAAGATTAGAAAATGATATTTAGAAAGTCATATTCTACTAGATATTCAGATGAAAACACTGGTTGGCAAGGAAAAATATAAATGCTCAGGTGAGAGATCTAGGTATTTGATATGATTATTACATTACTATCTTTGCTTTTCCTTTTTTAAGTTAAAAATATCATACTAATTTAACTTGATTGACATACTTAAATCCCTATGCAGCAAAAGTTGAAGGAATTAGCCACCTAATACAAACAGTTATAAAAGAGAATTTTAACAATCATAATTTTAGCTGGGTAGATAAGTCTCATTATGACTGGAAATGACAGATGATGAAAGTTTATCTACATTGTAGATCTCATCTAAATAAAAACCTAGGGAAAGTATTTTCACAAATGTCAAATCATGTATTCTACATTTATAAAACATTAGAGGCCGGGTGCATGAAAATTCATTCACTGGGAGGGGGGTCCCTCAGCCCGGCCTGCCTCCTCTCACAGTCTAGGAGCCCTCAGGGGTGGGAGGTGACTATGCAATCAGGGGAAGGCAATGCCCCATCACACCTCTGCTGCTGCCACTGCCGGCAGCACAAGCCTCGGCTGGCACCTGGTTACCTGAGCCTTGGTGGTCCCTGGGAGGCTGGGCAGCCACCATCCAAGGCTGTCTGTGCCTTGGGTGGGCCATGGGTGGCTGAGGGGCTGAGGAGACTGAGGGACTCCGGAGGTAGGCGCATAGCAAGTCCAGGCCTGAAGGGACGGGGCACCACCATTTTGTGGCTGTGGGCACTGCCATCTTTGAGGGTATGGCCATCAATTAGCATATTCCCTCTTTATTGGCTGTGGGTGCCGCCATCTTTGCAATGGCATGAGGGTCAATTAGCATATTCCCTCTTTATTAAATAGGATGACTACAATTTAAAACCTAAAAAGTTTTTGGAGCTATATGATTTCTTAGTAAGACAGTCACAAAATGTTAGATATGTTTTTATGTTAGCTGGGATTCACTAAATAATATTGCCACTAGTACAACTTAACATTAGGGTTACTAAAAGTTAGTGAAAGCTCAGTTGACCAAAATGTAATTAATAATTGCAAATATCTGCACTGGCAAGAACATTTTATGATGCTCTACTTCCTACTAAAACACACAATAGAACATTTCATATGTTAAATAACTACTGTTGAAGTCAAACAAGTTGTAGAATACTGGTGTCCATTTTCATAAGCCTGTGAGGCATGGAAGACAAGTATTTTTAAATCTAGATAACATTTTTTTTAATCTAGATAACATTTAATATATATTACCTAGAAGGCAAAAAAATATATATTAATGGGCCATTTATGGACAAGTGATCATGAAAAGTCTACATACCATTACAGATTCAGTAATAAAATGTTTACTTCTCCTATTCCAAACCACAGTAAAAACTTTTTAAATCTTAATGAGAGGCAGACTAATATAATAGGAAGAATACAGAAGTGAAACTTATACAACCAGCATGATTGATGATTTGATGTGTGAATTTGGATTTGACTTTTTTTTTTTCATGAGTAAGAAAGAAAGTGGGACTATATGACATCCAAGGGGGTTTTTCTTTTGCTTTATTTTTACTTCCAAGATCAGAGGCTTATGTAATAGGCCAATTTATTAGCAGGAAATAAGAATTTGGTAGAAGGCAGATGTGCTGAATACAATGACATTTTAAAAGGTACCCAGACTGTTTATAGAATGTCAAGTCATTGTTCAAAGAGGCTGATCACTGAAATTAATAGTGATTTAAAGTTACACTGTCTTCTGCAGACATTTACCTCCCCAGAATGCATTTTTCCATCTTGCAGAATTTTCATGTGGGGATACCATCTCCTCTACTTCATATGGTATCAGTGACAAATTACCACTTACCACTCCCAGGACAGAGTTCATGAAAAATCAAACTCCAGTATATACATCCCTCACCCAATTGTTTCAGGGGTGGGCATGGCACTAAGCCAGTACAATCAGGTTAAATCTTAGAGGACTTTTCCAGGAACTGCCACAAGAGAGACACATCACTAGATTTGAAATTATAAGTACACTAGAGGCCCGGTACACAAAATTTGAGCATGGGGTAAAAGGGTTGATGGTGGTATCCCTCAGCCCAACCTGCACCCTCTCCAATCTGGGACCCCTCGAGGGATGTCCGACGGCCGGTTTAGGCCTGATCCCATCGGGCAGTCGGATATCCCTCTCACAATCCAGGACTGCTGGCTCTCAACTGCTCACCTGCCTGCCTTCCTGATTTCCCCTAACCGCTTCTGCCTGCCAGCCTGATCACCCCCTATCCACTACCATGTCAGCCTGATTGATGTCTAACTGCTCCTCTGCCAGCCTGTTTGCCCCCAACTTCCCTCGTCTGCTGGCCTGGTCACCCCTTAAGTGCTCTCCCCTGCAGGGTTGATCGCCTCCAACTGCCCTTCCTTGCAGGACTGGTCCCTCTCAACTGCCCTTTCTTGCAGGCCTGGTGCCTCCCAACTGCCCTCCCTGCTGGCCATCTTGTGGTGGCCATCTTGTATTCACATGGGGGCAGGATCTTTGACCACATGGTGGCTATCTTCACACAGGGACAGCTCTTGTGTGTTGGAGTGATAGTCAATCTGCATATTACTCCTTTATTAGATAGGATAGAGGCCCGGTGCATGGATGGGGGCCAGCTGGTTTGCCCTAAAAAGTGTCCTGGATCAGGTTGAGGGTTCCCTTGGGGCGTGGGGTGGCCTAGGAGCCTGTGGTGATTTGCAGGCCGGCCACAACCCCTGGCGACCTAAGTGGAGGCCATGGTATCTGGTATTTATTTACCTTCTACAATTGAAACTTTGTAGCCTGGAGGGGAGCCAAGCCTCCTGCTCCCTCCATGGCCAACAGCCATTTCTGTTTGGATTTGTTTACCTTCTATAATTGAAACTTTGTAGCCTTGAGTGGAGGTCTAGGCTGGCAAGGGCAGGAGGAAAGCTTGGCTTCCTCCATTGCCTGGGAAACCTAAGCCTTTCTCCTGCTCTCTGTGGCTGTAGCTATCTTGATTGGGTTTATTTGTATACTCGCTCTGATTGGCTGGTGGGTGTGGCTGCTGGGTGCAGTGGAATGATGATTAATTTGCATATTACTCTTTTATTATGTAGGATGAGACTAAGTACTGTATGCTTAGCCCCCTTGACAACATAATAGGAAAATCCATCTGAGAATAGATCAAACCCAATGGAAGTGGAAACAAGAAATGAAGAGAGCAATTCTAGCTGGTTTGGCTCAGGGGATAGAGCATCAGCCTGAGGATGAAGGATCCCAGGTTTGATTCCCATCAAGGGCACATACCAGGGTTGTGGGCTCAGTCTCCAGAGCGGGGGTGGGGGCGTGTATGTGTGCAGGAGACAGCCAGTCAGTGATTTTCTCTCATTATTGATGTTTCTATCTCTCCCTCTCTCTGAAATCAATAAAAATATATTTTTTAGAAAAGAAAAAAGAAATGGCCCGGTCAGTGTGGCTCAGTGGAAAGAGTGTCAGTCTGCGGACTGAAGAGTCCCAGGTTCGATTCCAATCAGGGCACATGCCCAGGTTGCAGGCTCGGTCCCCAGTGTGAGCATGCAGGAGGCAGCCAAACAATGATACTCTCTCATCACTAATGTTTCTCTCTCTCTCTCTCTCTCTCTCTCTCTCTCTCTCTCTCTCTCTCTCTCTCTCTCTCTCTCTCTCCCTTCCTCTCTGAAATCAATAAAAATACATTTTAGAAAAAAGAAATTGGGAGAATAAGAGAACTGATTATATTATTTGAGTCCGAGTATAAAGCTATCACTACCTCTAAGAGGTCTTAATTTCAAAAGTCATCAAATTCACTCTCACTTAAGTTAGACGGGGTTGGTTCTTTCTTGCAACTGGGGAAAAAAAAATCACAACCAAGTTTTTCTACAACAATCTCAAAATAGTCTCATGGATAAGGAAAGATCATTGCCAAGTTCTTGACATATAGTCCAGATAAATTATTTAACTACATATGTCTCAACACCATCAATAAAATAAAGTATCAGTCATTATCTGCATCAAAGTGTTTTGAAAGAAAAGAAAAATAGAGTTTTTGTAAACACAGTGATATTTAAATACAATGCCTTATACATGGAAAAATTGTCTCACTTTAAAAAAAAAGTAATTTTAGAAGGTCTATTTTTACAATGAATATTGCCATAAACTTTCCAGGGAATACAGAAATTAAGAAAATCAATAATATTTGTTACATTTGTTTTGTTTTAAAATATATTTTTATTGATTTCAGAGAGAAAGGGAGAGGGAGAAAGGAGAGAGAGAGGAGAGGGAGTGAAAAAGAAAGGAGGAAAAGAGAGAGAGATAATTTATGTAGTCATCTGTAATTTTACTTTACATACCTTTGTAGGTCAACTAGTTCATTGTTAAGGGTATCTAGCTCCTTAATAGCAGAGAAATCTGCAACGGGACTTGATCCTATGTTCTAAAAACAAAAAGTTTACAATTACAGATTATTACTATAAAATTACATATGGCAAGGCATTTAAAATGTTTAAAAGCACTACATGCATATAGGGTATTACATTTTTTATGGTATTATTAACAATTTGAATTCATTTAAGAACACCATATCTAGTGCAATTTTTAAACACAGACTCAATTATATACTAAGACATTTTCCCTTAAATTCTCTAACTTATTGTTCTATATTATGTACCATCACTTCAGATCCCAATGCCTTTGTCATTTGATCCTAGCCTGTCCAATACTTTGCGGGATAATAGATATCAGATTTATATTTTTTAAATCTTTTTAAAAATATATTTTTATTGATTTTAGAAAGGAAGGGAGAGGGAGAGAGAGAGATAGAAATATCAATGATGAGAAGAATCATTAATCGGCTGCCTCCTGCACATTCCCTACTGGGGATCGAGCCTGGATCCTGGGCATGTGTCCTTGACCAGAATCAAACCCGGGATCTTTCCGTCTACAGGCTGATACTCTACTCACTGAGCCAAACCGGCTAGGACAGATATCAGATTTATAAATTATTTCCTCCACTGAAGTATATATTTCTTGTGGAGATGAATGCTGATTTATTTGTAATTGTATCATCTGGCACAGTTAGTACACAAACTTTTTTTTTTTTTAAATATATTTTATTGATTTTACACAGAGAGGAATTGAGAAAAATAGAGAGTTAGAAACATCAATGAGAGAGAAATTTCGAACAGCTGCCTCCTGCACCCTCCCCACTGGGGGTGTGCCTGCAACCAAGGTACATGCCCTTGACCGGAATCGAACCCAGGACCTTTCAGTCCGCAGGCCGACGCTCTATCCACTGAGCCAAACCGGTTTCGGCAGTACACAAACTTTTATTGAGTATTTGAATTATAATGGTGGTAAGTTTACTCAATTCAACAAATATTTGCTTTTGTTAAATACTTTAGTGACTACTCTAGTTAAAGTAAAACATACTGCTCAGGCATGTTCCATAGTTAATATTAAACTGTCTTCATATAAGACAGCCTTTACATATGGTTCTCTTTCAATAATGGTGTCAAAATTGGTCTCTGAATGGTACTTGCAGTTAGAAAATCTAGCTGGATTTATTTTTGGTTCTGCTATGATCTTCACTGTAAAATAGAGAAATAATTTCTGTCCTGCCCACCTTAAAAATTAAATATTACATGTGAAATCACTCTATAAACTTTATATTTTATAAATGTAAGCTATTCTTAAAATTAACTTCATTAATAGAAGATGCTCTTAAAAGATGGATGGCCTCCCAATGAGCTGCTTCCACCTTGGCTCAATCTTCTTTGTGAAATAACTTCCACACCTCTTCCATCATCCTAACACAAAAAGAGTGACTCACACCTGACAGTCATCACTGTTAAAAATATCATCAAATAAGAAGAGTGAGAATAACAATTTTAACATCAAACAAGTTAAAAGGTGATACCACAGATGACTACAGAGGAAGATTAGTATATTATAGTTAGTACACAGCTTGTGTCAATCCTCAACTGCTGACACAAAAATTAAACACCCATACTATAGCAATAAAATGACAAGCAACCAGGAAGCATAAAGTCCAGCTAAACATTTTATAAAGTATAAGAAAGGCATATAAAGAAAAATGTAGCATGTCCCTTTCTTTCAAAATATTTTCTCTCACCCTGTTTTATAGTATACACAAAAATTCCACTTTGGTGCGTTTAAGGAGATTAGAGAGCTCAGGGAAGGCAAGTAAAATGCACACAAAAACCAAGTGATGACCTGGGACAAAAGCATGCTGTTTAAGTATTTTCTCTGCATCAAGTTTGCTGCAAAAAACCCCTCTAACTTCAAAATGTATCTTGTAAACCAAAAACTGCAATGCTAAAAAAGACAAAGTAAAGCTCTAAATTCAGAGTAAAGAAACTGACAGTACAAGAAAGGCAAAAAGTAGAGTGCTGCAGAATGGAGAAAGTAGTCCAAACTCAAAAAAATACAGAAAGGAAAGCAACATTCACAAAAGAATTAATCACAGCTACAAAAAAAAAAAAAAAAAAAAAAAGCAATTCTAAAAAATAATCAGATTATTAAGAGAGACTATTTGAAAACAAAACAAATGCTAGTTTTAACTTTTAAGGTTAAAAAATTTGGCTAATAGATAAGAAACAGTGACAATATCCCATTTTGATGAACTGTACTGATATCTGACATAAACAAACAACTGTGTCTATACTCCAGTGAATGGACTTCAAACAAATCTGTTATATTAAAAACTCTGTAGGGCAGATAGAACTTGAAGTGGTTAGTAATGTTTTAGAGACTTCAATGAACAACATAATCTGCTTTAGCAAATTCTTTCATATCTGTAATTTGTGTTGGGGGAGAGTGGGTATAAAATGATGGCAGCAAGGGGAAAAAACAGTCTATTTAAGGGGAAAAAAAAGGGTGAAACGGTCATTCCAGAACTGAGATAATTATAGCAGAGGGCATGAGTACAGATTTGTAACATTTTATCTTTATTGGTGGCATCATTTTTAGCCTTCTCCACAACTTAGGGAACCCACATCCTACATCATAAGAAATGTCCAAAAATTCATAAAATATTCCCCCCAAAAAACTCACAAAGCAGATAATCAAATATTTATTTTATTTAAAAATAAGAACAACAATTCTTAGAACCAACTTTTGTACCTGGTGGCTATAAATTTCCATTTAGATGACTTAGAAAATATCCAATTTGACTTTAATAAGACTTGTTTAAATGAGATTTTTCATCCTATATGACAAAATTAATGCAAAACCAAAATATTCTACTGACATTTTAAAGAATACTTTCCTAATACCACACACTTAACAACTATAACCACAGCAATGGTTACTTTATAGGTCACAAGAAATTTGCAGATTCAGAGTATGTATTTTTAACAGCAAATCCTTTTAAAGCTCTTTTAAGGCCAATATATCGTAAATGCATTATACTTGAAGGGCTTACAGATGAGAGAAAAACCAAGACACAACATGGCTAAACAATGTAGTTTTGAAAGCTCCTACTGCTGGCCAGAAAACAAAACAGCAAAACCTGTTCCTAGCTGTACGGGTATGAAACTCGGCTGTCCGCTCAGGAACAAAGAGTCATCTATATGGTAAAAGTCACAGATTTCTCCACAATAAAATGTTTTTTCTAGTTTTTTTAAAATTTAAAACTGATACCAAGGAATTATAATCTTGATTTTGTTTTCAAAATTATATTGTTTTGTAAGAGTAAATCATCAAATGAAACCCAATAATTTAATTTCATTCAAATTTTATACCCTATTCATAAAAATTAATCCACAGATCCAGGAGGGGAAGAATAAGACATTTTTCTAATTTTGAGACTGAAAAATGTGGTTGCCACATGTGTGATGAATGATGGAGTAAACGAGGGACAGCCCAAGGATGTCTTACATGCATTCAGCCTATCTATAGTTACAAACTAAACCACAAACAGAATACTCCTCTGCTCCTAGCCAGATATATTTCTCCACCATTCTGTCCAAATTGAGTTTGCCATCTGACATAGGTCTTATTCCTTTCTGTTAATGCATTCAAGTTTTCTTGTAAGTTGTCTTACCTTTTGTAAATTGGCCCTGTCTGATGGTGGAATCATCTCAGGAGTAAGAATATGAGGAGGATCAATGCCCTTAACTAATTTCTGATTGATTAAGTGAAAAGCCAATGCAAACTGATCCTTTGAAAGCTTTCCATAGTTCTTTGTGTCACATAATGCCCTGTATAAATAAACAAAATGAACAGTATATAAATGCCACAATTGCCACTCTAAAAATCTAATGTGACTATGTAGCTATTTAAAAATGATTAGTTAAATTTAAAAAGGTCATACTAATTTATGGCTTGCCCAAAACTCACTCAAGCGTTAGAAGCAAGAGAACAAAATAGATTGAGACAGATAGAATGTTGGTCCTGGTGCTGAGCAAAGGCCTCTGATCTGGGTTTGTTCTGTACTTTTTCTCATCAATTTCCACAACACCTGCTGAATAAGAGTTGTACTGGACCAAAGAATCCAAACATTGTCTATTCCCAATATTTCAACATTAAAAGATATAAAAGAATGAGTCCTAACTCATTCAGTTTGGCTCAGTGTATAGAGCATTGGCCTGAGGACTCAAGGGTATCAGGTTCGATTCTGGTCAAGGGCATGTACCTTGGAGGCAGCTGATTGATGTTTCTCTCTCATCGATGTTTCTAACTCTCTCTCCCTGTCCCTTCCTCTCTGTTAAACATCAATAAAATATATTTTTAAAAGACATTAAAAAAATGAAACGTAAGTTTCAACAAAATTGGTTCATTAGTGGTATTAGAATGATTCTAAAACAAGCAAAAACTTCCATGTCAGCTTGCTTCCTGCAACTCGGAGTAGGAGGATCACCAAGTCAAAGCAGAAACAACAGCTGCAAATGGAGATCACATGTGAAGAAAGTCAGCAATCTGGAAAGCTTTACAAAATCACTTGAGGAAAAACAGCAAATGTTTTATTCTATTTTTTTTTTTTTTTTTTTTTTTTTTTAGCTTAGCTTTCTGAAGTCCTGATCTGTTTGATTCATTGAAAACGAATATGGCCTGACGGAAACACACTACAGGTTATAGGTTACAGTGTCAAAGAAACATTGAATTTCAGCTTTTGTACTTATTTATTCTTGTGATTTTAGCCAAATATTTAACCTCTCCGAGCCTTAATTTCTTCATCTATAAAGTGGAGATAACATCCATCTCGCAAGATTACTATGAGAATTAAAGACAAAGCACATAAAAAGTGTGGGCATAATGCCACTCCCATGACAGCTGCCATTTTACTGAGCATTATGCCTAGCCTAGGCACTCAAAAGTGGCAGCTATGCTTAGTTATGCATATAATTTTTTCCAGTCTTGGGTTCTTGTTCCTTTAAAGGTAGATCTACTGCCCTCCTTTGTTCAACCCTCTGTACATGGGCCAATGCTCTAATCACTGAACACACCAGTCAGGGCAAGGCTTGTCTTTTTTAAGGACCAAGTATGTAATTCCAATGTGAAGGTATAAAAGTATACACATGTCCTACAGAATTGTACAAATATGCCTTAAAAACACTTTAAATACAAATTTTGCCTTCTCCCTTAAAAATTTAAGATGGCCCCAGCCAGTATGGCTCAGTGGATAGAGCGTCAGCCTGTGGACCTACGGGTCCCGTCAAGGGCACATGCCATGGTTGCAGGCTCCATCCCCAATGGGGGTCGTGCAGGAGGTGGCAGATCAGTGGTTCTCTCATTATTGATATTTCTATCTCTATCTCCCTCTCTGAAATCAATTAAAATATTTATTTTTTAAGTTAAGTTTGCCCTAGCTGGTCTGGCTCCATGGGTAGAACATCAGCCTGTGGACTGAGAGGTTTCAGGTGTGATTCTGGCCAGCATGCCTGGGGTTGTGGGCTCAATCCCCAGTAGGGGGCGTGCAGGAGGCAGAAGATTAATGAATTTCTCATTATTGACATTTCTATCTCTCTCCCCCCCTTCTTTTCTAAAAACAATAAAAAGTATTTAAAATTTTTTGTTTAATTGATATATATAGATGCTGCATTTTAACATTCTAATAACAATTAACTGACATAAAATGTCAGGTAACCCATTCTCCAGCTTCTCCAGAAGAAACCCTCAGTTTTTCTATAAAGAATTCTGAAACAAAAATTTCCTATTGCCGAAACTGGTTTGGCTCAGTGGGTAGAGCATCAGCCTGCGGACTGAAAAGTTCCGAGTTCGATTCCAGTCAAGGGCATGTACATTGGTTGCAGGCACATCCCCGGTGGGGGATGTGCAAGAGGCAGCTGGTCGATGATTCTCTCCCATCGATGTTCTAGCTCTCTATCCCTCTCCCTCTCTGTAAAAAAACAATAAAATATATTTTAAAAAATAAAAATAAATAAACAAACAAATAAGTAAATAAATTTCCTATTGATAAATGCCTAAAAATAAGAATGCACAAAACACCAAAACTGTTTTTGGCTCGGTGGATAGAGCCTCAGCCTGCGGACGCAAGGGTCTCAGGTTCGATTCCGGTAAAGGGCATGTATCTTGGTTGTGGGCACATCCCCAGAGGGGATTGTGCAGGAGGAAGCTGATCGATGTTTCTTTCTCATTTCTAGCTCTCTATCTCTCTCCCTTCCTCTCTGTAAAATCAATAAAATAAATATTTTTGAAAAAAGAATATTTAAAAAAAAAAAAAGAATGCACAAAACTAGATTTAACACAAACCATATGTTTTAAAAAATCAATTAAAAATTTTTATTAATTTGAGAGAGAGATAGGAAGGAAGAGGGAGGGAGAGAAAGAGAGAAACATTGATCTGTTGTTCCACTTATTTATACATTCCTTGGTTGTTTCTTGTATGTGCCCTGACTGGGATCAAATCTATCTTCAACCTTAGTGTATTGAGACAATGCTCTACCCAATAAGTTACCCAGCCAGGGTAAATCAATTTAAACAAAGTCTTACCAAATGTGGGCTAGTAAGGCAGAAGGTAAACCTGTCTTCAGAAAGATTTCACGGGCTTCCAATCCAGAAACAAATCCATCCATATCTTTATCAGTTTTCAGGAAGATTTCATCATATTTAGCTTTTTCTGAAGGTGATACAACCCACTACAAAAAAAATAATTATATATATACTTATATATATATATATATACACACACACACACACACACACACACATATAGTATTTCTGCCAAAATAAAGCAAACTTTGAAGTGACATCTTTCAACACATGACAGTATCTGTCACAAATTCTGAGCAATTTTACTCCAATTACTAAGAATAGCAACAGTATATAATTTTCATCAGATCCCTGACTAAAATGTTGTGGTCAACAAAAAATTACAGAAGAGCTGAAACCGGTTTAGCTCAGTGGATAGAGCGTCAGCCTGCGGACTGAACGGTCCTGGGTTCGATTCTGGTCAAGGGCATGTACCTGGGTTGCAGGCACATTCCCAATAGGGGGTGTGCAAGAGGCAGCTGATCGATGACTCTCTCTCATCGATGTTTCTAACTCTCTTCCCCCTCTCTCTTCCTCTCTGTAAAAAATCAATAAAATAAATATTTTTTTAAAAATTACAGAAGAAAAATATAGGTCAGTGGGCCTACAGTTATAGATGCCCATTTTTTTTTTTTTAAGTAATAAGTAAATTCAAGCATAGTTAACTCTTGACTTATGACCAGATGAATATGGGTAAGTGGAAAGTTTGTATAAACAAAATATTCAGATAATTCTCAATCTCCAATTTTTATAGTTTCATTCAGCATTACTAAACACATATAAATTGGCTGACATTATTTTCCTTTATACAATCTGACAAAAAGCAGGTTGGAGGAGAAAAAGGCCTTGTATAACCCAAAATTGGATAATTTGAACCCAAAGAATCAAGAGTTAACTAGAGATTAGACAAATAAAAACACCTATTAACTATGTCAGGGCAAGCATTCCAGGTTAGTATAGAATATCTGCTACCTCCAACTTTAATTCTAGGTAGATCAAGTCAAAGCCAATGAACCATCCATACGATGTAAGTAAGGTCAAATGCAGGATTACCTATTTTCTTTGTGGCATCACATTATGCAGATTCAATAAAAGGGAGCTCTAAATCTTGATCCCTTTGATTGCTCCTTCTATCTTCATCAAGCAATCAACTGTTCAATGCCATGCAGCTTGTTTTTTTTAAATAAAAGTTTTTGAACACTGATAAATCTATACCTGTCTTAACGGTCCTTTGGTAGGTAAAATGCCTACACGTGGTAAGGAATGGTAAGATTCCTTTGCTGCTGAAGTGGGGATCAACCGCATAGAGCCTGATATACTGACCGTTTTCCTCTTTGAAGGTGGCACCAAGGCTGGAGGTAAGGACATTGGCACAGGTTCTTTCTCAAGTGCACAGTACACCAAAAACATGGCCTTCAAAACAAATAAACCAGAGTCATACATATTAAAATAATTTACTATCATCAGCTCACTGAATTGATTACTATTCAATAACAAAGCATTTTCAAACTGTTTGAAATCTTTTTAAAGAAATAGGCTTTTAAGATATCCAAGACACAATGTTAAACATGAAAAAATTATAGTGTTGAACAGTATGTATACTGTGTCATATTCTGTATTAAGGGGGTAATAACTATTAATATTTGCATTAAGACCTCTAGAAGGATAAAGAAGAAACTAAGAAAAGTGGTTCATTATGGAGTAGGTGTAAATGGAGCAGTTGAGGGCAACAATGGGATGGGATTGAGATATGCTCCCCACTGAATATCTCCTTATATTGTACTGATTTCTGAACCATAAGAATGAACCTATTAAAGTTATTTTTTTATTTTAAAAAAATATATTTTATTGATATTTTACAGAGAGGAAGGGAGAGAGATAAAGAGCTAGAAAACATTGATGAGAGAGAAACATCGACCAGCTGCCTCTTGCACACCCCCTACCGGGGATGTGCCCGCAACCAATGTACACGCCCTTGGCTGGAATAGAACTCGGGACCTTTCAGTCTGCAGGCCGATGCTCTATCCACTGAGCCAAACCGGTTTCGGCTAAAGTTATTTTTAATTATTAAATACATAAAGCACTTGCATCAAGTGAAACAACCTACATAGTGACTGTACCAGGATATTCCTTCCACTTTGAATCTAAGGCACCTTCAAGACTTTCAAAAGATGAAAATTTTCCGTAACTATCTTTAAGCATATGAAATTACTCAAAGCGACTTGGAACCTCCCGAAGTATTCAAATAGCAACTGGAAGGAAGCTTTAATATTTCTTCTTAATTTTTTTCTTCCATTAAAAATAGCAATTCTCCCCAAAATAGGTTTTTAATTCTAAATGTTGTGGAGCTTTCAAATCAATACTCATTGAGCACTTAATACAACCCATGATTTCTGTGATTACCAATATCATTTTGCAAATGAAGAAACTCAGGCCATGATAGTAACTTGTCGGGTATATTTTTAAGAAGTGATAGAGTAAAGCGCAAACCAGGATCTTCTGGCTACAAAACTCTTTTTCCAGGTTTGATCAGCTTTATTAGGAGTACACATAACTTTACAATACTGTGCTCTCTTCTTTGAGTAGTAAAACTAATCTTTAACCCATTGGTATCCAAATTGTTGCAGGCATCAGAACTGCTTGGACAGCTTGATAAAGCACAGATTTCTGGGCCCCATTCCCAGAATTCTAAAAGTCTGCAATTGAGCCAGAGAATTTGCATTTCTAAATAGGTCGTTCCCAGGTGATGCTGATGCTGTTTACCCTGAGACCACATTTAACTATTTGATACAAACCAACAATTCTCCCCATTCACTAGTCAACTTAAAAAATTCAATTTACTTTTTTTTCTTCTTTCAATTTCGGTTTTAGAAACTCAAATTTTCAATTTCCAAAAGCTTGGAACTCCAGAAAGAAACAATCTGGCTAGCAGATACTTCCAACCTAATACACAATATGTATACTATTGTCAGATTGACACCAAACTAAAAGAAGGGACCAACATGCACATTTAAGGGTCAGCATTCCTCTTGCTGCAGATGAGAGTCATTTCCTGGAAAAGAGAATGCTAGAAGCAAAAAAAGCAATGTCAGCCATCTGCTGACAATAGACAACACATTTTTTCTGAAAGTAAAAAAAATACTATATTATTAATTTCATGTTGCCTTGAAAATAGTTTCTTTGACAAAGCTGAAGTCAATTTTTCTACCAAATAAGACAAAAAAAGTGAACAATATAATGCTGGATTGTGACTTTGTTTTTTTATAATACTATACTTTATCCTAAACAAAGTCTGCTATCAAAATTAGTATATCATCAAAATAATACAGCAACCAAATCAAATGATGCACCACACACACACAAAATATCTGGCTGGTAACTAGTTTTTTAAACTAAAATGCATTTACACAGCTAGAAATAGACACTTAACTAAGAAGCATTTTACATTAATGATTTAAATGTAAATGTAAATTTACATTTTTAAATGTAAAAATATCAAAAATAAACTTAAGCTTACTCCAGGATAGCAGAGAAAAGGACAAAGAGAAACTGAAACATAGTAAAATCAATGTAGTGGATTTATAGGTCTAAAATATTCTGAACAGAAATGTTAGTATAGCCAGAGAACATGTAAAAACAGGTCATGAATTTAGCAACAAAAGAAACCTTAACAAAATTTTTTTTAAGTAGAGATTTTAAAAACCACATTCTCAAGTCATAATTTAATCAGCTAAAATTATATATAAATGGAACAAAAACCAAACACACTTAAATACTTTGAAAGTAGAAAACATTCCTAAATAGATGATCAAAAAAACCTAAAAATTATCTAAAAAGTAGTGAAAAGGAAAATACTTTGTACCAATATATAAAATCTAGCTAACCCTGTATTCAGGTAAAAAAAATGTTCCATAAATGCTTTGAACATTAAAGATAAAAAATAAACAAACTTTGTACTCATCTTCAGGAATTTTTTTAAAAAAGTAAATGAAAAGAAATTAGGAAGATGTAATTAAGATAAAAGTTGAGGCCTAGCTGGCTTGGCTCAGTGGATAGAGACCTTCAGGTCCACGGACTTGATTCCAATCAAGGGTGCTTACCTTTTTTGCAGGTTCAATCCCAGCCCTTCTTAGGGCGCCTGAGGGAGGCAACCAATCCATGTGTCTTTCTCACAACGATGTTTGTCTCTCTCTGTCCCTCCCTCACCCTTCTACTCTCTCTAAAAATCAATAAAAAAGTATCCTCGGCTGAGGATTAACAAAATAAGAGAAAAGTTAAAAAGAATAAAAGTCAAAACATAATAACAGGATAAATAAATCCAAAACATATCTCTATCTAAAGATCAATAAACTAGATAAAATTCAATTAAACAAAAAATGAGAGAAAATAATACATAAGATTTGGAATGAAAAAGAGATACAATCATAAACCCAGAAGAGATTAAAAGAATAATGCAAATAAATCTGTGGCAATAAGTTTGAAAGTCAAAGAAATGAATAATTCCTTAGCAAAAAGAAAAAGAAAATTTGAACAGACTAATATTCAAATAAGAGATAAAAGGAAAATTAGAGATTCACCATTCATGAGTTCACAGAAGAATTTTATCTAACTTTTAAGAAAGAGATGAATATAACTCTATTTTAATTTAATTGTCCAATTACTAAGGATAACATGTCTTCAGAAAAGACATAAAAACTTTCTCAGCTTATACAATGAAGCAACACTAAAGTGTTATTCATGTCTTCCTTTAATGAAACAAATGTGAAATTCTGGGGGTATATATGAAATGAAATTATTCCAGAGCAGAAGCAGGTACGGAGATGCTTGGTCAAGTAGGGATACAAAAGATAACATTACTCAACATCAACTTTACAGTGCATCATCCAAAGTATATATCTGTATGTACTTTAAAGTCAAATAAAATGAAGATAGCAAACACATATATTTTCTATTATCCATTTGTTTAAAAATATTTATTGATTATCTACAAATTCTAGGTAAAAATATTCATACCAACAATATTAGGGAAATAAGTTTTCCGATAAGGATGAACTAAAGGAAAATATCCATTTCAGAAAACCATTCAGATGTTTAAGATTTTTAAATGATTAGGTTACTTACAACTGCAAACTCATCTCTGTCAAGCATTCCATCATGATCAATATCACTCAACTCCCAAACCTTAAAAAGAAAATAATTGAGAAAGATAATGTTCTTTCATTTAATGTGCTACATGTAAACACCAAATACAAAAACAGAGGAAAAGTTTTGCCTAAACATTACATTTTTTTCTGAGAAATTTCAATTATGCTGATTATTTTATTATATCGTTATTATTTGCTATATTAACAATTACTATAAAAGGAAGTAATGATTCACTTAAGTATTTTTAAAACAGAAATTCCCTTACAAAATTTTTTAAATTATTTTCTTCCTTTCAAGTCATAAAACTATTATGCACATAGTATTTTCAGACAATTACAATGTTTTCACAAACATCATCTCAGTTAATTTATGCAACAGCTCCTGTTTTAGACATGAAACTACATGACTTACCTAGGACCATGCAACTATTATTAAGTAAAGAAATCAATTTTCAATGTGAAGTCTTCCAACTAAGTCCAATATCGTTTTCCCTACACTACAGACTCTAATCAACTAAAAGAAATATGTAATGAATTCCGTGTAATGAATCATCAGCCAGCTAATGTGCAGGGCTTACAAAGAAAAATAAAATCTGAAAGGCCCTGGTAGATTTGGCCTAAATTTAGAATAAATTACATAGCTTTAGACCAGCTACAAAATTATGTTAAATCCTTGAGAAGAAGATATTTAAACATTCAACAAAATCTCACTTGGGGGCAAGAAGAGAAAGTGAGATGATGAGAGACAGGAGTGGAGATAAGTAAGTGCCTGGTAACTAAATGCTTTGAAAGGAGTTTGGACTTCATCCTGAATGCAATGGAAAGCTAAGAGGTTAGTTTTATGTTAAAAAAAAAAAAAAAAAAAAAAGATAACAGGATTATATTTATAGATTAGAAATCTCACACTGCGGAAACCGGTTTAGAGCGTTGGCCTGTGGACTGAAAGGTCCCGGGTTCGATTCCAGTCAAGGGCATGTACGTTGGTTGCAGGCACATCCCCAGTAGGGGTTGTGCAAGAGGCAGCTGATTGATGATTCTTTCTCATCGATGTTTCTAACTCTCTATCCCTCTCTCCTCCTCTCTGTAAAATATCAATAAAATATATTAAAAAAAAAAAAAGAAAGAAAGAAAAGAAATCTCACACTGGACCCAACAGTGGAGAAATGATTCATAAGAAGCAATAAAAGGCTTTTAAATTAATATATATTGAGCACCTAACCAATGCAACACTGATCCAATAGTAACACTGCTGGTGGTGTGATGGTTTCATTATCATTATCATCATCATAGTAGTTTGAATGCATAGTAGTTAGCATTCAAAGAGTATGTGCTATAAATGAAATCATACTCATTTTAAAGATTAGAAAACTGAGACATGATTTTCTAATGATTTGCCCAATGTCACACAACTAAGAAGTGGTGCAGCCAGGATTTGACCATACAGAGTAGGATTAAGCAAGGGATTAAAGAAAGGACTGGAACCCGACTGGTGTGGCTGAGTGGTTGAGTGTCAACCTATGAACCAGAAGGTCACGATTCAATTCCTGGTCAGGGCATAAGCCCTTGTTGCAGGTTTGATCCCCAGTGTGGGGCATGCAGGAAGCAGCCAATAAATGATTCTTTCTCATCACTGATGTTTTACTCTCTCTCCCTTCCTTTTTGAAATCAATAAATGTGTGTGTGTGTGTGTGTGTGTGTGTGTGTGTGTGTGTGTGTGTATTTTTTTGTTTTAAAGAAAAAAGAAAGGACTGGAGGTTTAATGAGAGTATGTAAGTTTTGAAATATAAGAGAGGTGGAGAAAAATCACTATGGAAACAGCACAAGAGTGGCTGGCAATAAGGAAAAACCAGCTAAAGTAGATGATGATGAAATTATGATGATACCTATCTTTATTAGACTTTCTCAGTAGTCCATATGCAACCACAGAGAAGGTAAATAATTAGCTTCACACAAAGCTGGATTTTCACCATGCAATCAAGAAGTTTAAAAAAAAAAATGGTAAAGGGAACTAAGGATACTGACATGAAACTATGGACCATAAAAATCCAAGATGGATGAGGAAAAAAGGAAATTCAAAAGATGGAGAAAGTAAAGGAGTCGAGATTTAAAGATCTTGATGAAGTTACAGAAGTAGTCTTGCAAGTATCTAGGAAAGTTCTAGAAAGATAAGAAGTTCTAGTTAGAAGGTAGAATTTATGATTTCAGAGATGAAACCGTTCCTTATAACAAGGCCCCATGATATAGCTATGGAATAGGTGGCAGATGAAAATTACTGATGGTCTCTGGAAATTAAGTCAAGGAATTGAGAGATCAGAATGGACAACACAAAGAAGAAAAAAAAAGACCTACTTAAAAGGTTTCTATTATACATATAGCTAATTTCAAACACTTAAAATTTAGGAGATAACCAAATAAATAAATAAATAAATTGGCAATGATTTCATATATTAAGTCTGAACACAGAAAAATTCTATAACACAAATTCAAAATAAGATCTGTGCATTTTTTAACAATGAGCTATAAGTGCTCCTGGTAGATACAAAATTAAAATACATAAAAATTACATTTATAATTTAATAATATCTTACTCTTCCAAGAATATCCACAGGTAACTTAGAGTTGAGCAACACTGGTTTCACTTTATCACCAGACAGAAATCCATTAACTGGACTTAAACTATCAAAAATTGCGTCATATTTGGCCTTATCTTCAGACTATAATATAAAAAAGATTACAAATCAAAACAATGGTGAAAAGGATTGCAATGCAGTTATAAAAATCAAACACTCAAAGAACAGACAGTGTATTTTTTAAACTCATCATTTAAAAAACATTTTCACTTTTATCAAAATATATTAAAGTAAATGATAATTTAAGTTCCTCCACCCCACTCCTTTTGTAGCTGGACCACTATCTTTGCTTTTCTGTTTAGATTAGAGTCACAAGATTTCAGTGATAGAAGGGCTTTGAGAAAAGCACCTAGCCCAATCCTCTTACTTAAACAGATCCACAGCAAGGAAGTAACTTTTATAAAAACACTCAGCTAGTAGTGACATTTCATGACTTTCTAAACATGATGTTAGTCACATTTCAAACTCAAACACCTTTAAAAAACAAAATCACTTCCAGAGGAATAAACATCAAGTTTTCCCCCTTTCCCCCAAAGCAAGATAGCTTATCAATAACAAGAATTTTCTAAAATTCTGAAAAGTTACTTTTATATCATAAAAACTATGTTTTTGATTTGTCAAGTCCAAATTCCTACATTTTAAAAAATTAGTTAAGCTGAAACCGGTTTGGCTCAGTGGATAGAGCGTCGGCCTGCAGACTGAAAGGTCCCGGGTTCGATTCCGGTCAAAGGCATGTACCTGGGTTGCGGGCACATCCCCAGTAGGGGGTGTGCAAGAGGCAGCTGATCGATGATTCTTTCTCATCGATGTTTCTAACTCTATCCCTCTCCTTTCCTCTCTGTAAAAAAATCAATAAAATATATATTTTTTAAAAATTAGTTAAAAGCACACTAGTATACATAAACAGACCAACCAAAGTAGTTTTCTGAAAAAATGGTATATATATATATATATATATATATATATATATATATACACACACACACACACACACACACATATATATATATATATATACATATACATATACAATATATATATATATATTATCCCTTTTTTACAGAGAGAAAGGGAGAGGGAGAGAGTTAGAAACATCGATGAGAGAGAAACATCGATCAGTTGCATCCTGCACACCTCCCGCTGGGAATGTGCCCGCAACCAAGGTACATGCCCTTGACCGAAATCGAACCTGGGACCCTTCAATCCTCAGGCTGACCCTGAGCCAAACCGGTCAGGGCAAAACGTTATATATTTTTATTGAAGGTCATTGATCTGCTATATACTAAAAATATTTTTTAATTATGCTTTTAAAAATCTATAAGGCCCTAGCCAGATAGCTCAGTTGGTTAGAGCATCATCCCAATATGCCAAAATTGTGGGTTCGATCCCTGGTCATGGCACACAAGTTATCCCCCCCCCCCCCCTCCCTCCCTCCCTTCTTTCCTCCCTCCCTCCCTCCCTTCCCCTTTCTCTCTCTCTCTCTTCCCATCTAAAATCAATTAAAAATTATTTAAGTAAATAAACTGTATTTTTAATCTGAAAAGATAGTTATAACTACTGTGATGTTTCCAAATACCTATAAAGCAAAATATCCATTTCAGAAAATAATTTCTTGAAAGAATAAATAATTGTTTTATGCTCTAAAAATAGTACTATTTAACCAGAATTTTCAAGTCAGACATAATATCAGTAGGATAAACTAGACATAGCAGTGGGGTAAAATACTCATCAAATATTTTAGTTTGTACAGTGTTACCATTTTTAGTTTACACCATAACAGGAATGAGATAAAACCAATACTACAATAATTGTCACAAAATGATTGCTAGTGCTGTAAGACCCCTCCAAAGATTTCTAGTACCAGTAATTCCTGAACAGTAAAAAATTAAAATCTAATGAAGATTGCAATATATTATGGAAGTAGAGGAAGAGATGATGTGAAAGAAAAGCAGGAGTGAGAGAGAATAGTTACAAAGTTTACTTACTTTTACAGCCCATGGGAGCTCGGAGGCAGAAGTTCCACTAATTAGCAAGGGACTATTGGTATCATGCTAAAAAAAAGAAAATATAGCACATGAAGGGCTGAAATCCTCACATCAATAAATAATGAAGAAAAAGAGGCCTTTGGACTTAAATACAATCGGATAAAATGTTAGATCTCAATAAACACATATACTCTATTTTACATTAACTATTTTACATTAATTCTATTAGACCATCTAAATACAAATGAAACAAAAACTGCATAAATGACTGTGGAGCACTAAACAAAACTTAAGTATTACCTATTGTAAGCTTAAGAAACCTATTATAAGTGACATAAAGATGAAGATATCTGAATGTAATAAAAATATTTATTGCCCTGTTAACTGATGATTTTTTTCTCAGCACTCTTTAAGGAAAACTGACAAGGACAAGAACCAAACTTAAGATTTATAAGTTACAATTACATGAACCTATCTATAGCATGCCCTACCTATCTGCTTATAGAGACAGATAAATATATTGAATAAATTTTATGATAACATAGTTAGTTAACAAATCCCTAAATTATCTTTCTGATTCCATGACTCTAAGCCTAAACTCAGAAGTGCAGAAATTTCTCAAAACTAAAGTTAAATTCATAATATTCAGACCAAATACTTCTAGAACACTGAATTTAAAAGTAAACATGAAGAGCCACGAAACTTCTGAAAACAAGAAGTAGGGTGGTGAGGCTTAGCCCTATCAGATATAAAAATAAATTATCAAATATGATCATTAGAACAATGCGAGATCAGCATATAGATAAACAGACCAATGAACAGAAAAAAAAAAACACCCAAAATACAGATGAGAATTTACTATGTGATTGAAAAGGCATTTCAAATCAGTTAAGGAAAAGATGATTATCAATAAACTGCATTAGATCTGTAAAGTAGCCATCATTAAAAAACATAAATTTTAATCCACACTCATACCGTACATATCTTATATCAGGACTAATATAAAAGTGAAAAAAGAAACCATAAAAAATTTTAATTCTATCTAATAATTAATATACATAAAAACCAATGACACCTTTATAGAAGAAAATAACCATAAACAAAGTCAAAAGACAAGTGACAAACTGGGAAAAAATATTTGCAACTCATACAGACAAAGAGCTGTTTTCCTAATATATAAAAAGCCTATAGAATTCAGTAAGAAAAAGACCAAAAGCCACAAAACATAAGCAAAGACTATAAATAGGCATTTCACATAAAGGCAATGTAAATGGATGATAAACATGAGAAAACTATTCAACCTCATTCCATAAAACCAAAAGGACAAATGAAAACTACACTTACACTCCATTTGTCACCTATCAAAACAACAAGAATCCAAAAGTTTGACAACAGTATGTTAGCAAAAATGCACTTAACCAATTGATGATGGGACTGTGAACTACTGCAACCACTATGAAGATTATTATATGGGAAAATTATAAATGTACAAACTTTTGAAACAGCAATTCCATTTCTGAGAATTTACACATATAAATACATTTCTGCATATGCAAAATAATATATATTCAAGGTTATTATGCACTGCAGCATTTTTTTAAGTAAAAGGTTAGAAACAAGCTAAAAGTCTATCAAAAGGAAGTTAAATAAATTATGATGACTAGAAATAAATAAATAGAATGCAGCTATAAAAAAGAACAAGGAAGCTTTTGTGTAACGATATGTATAATCTCCAAAACATATTATAATAAGTTATTAAAATAAGGTATAAAATTGTGTGTTCAGAATACTACAATAAATATAAAGTGAGAAGATAGATATTATTACTTCTTTATATACACATATAATAACTCTGGAAGGACATACAAGAAACTAATAAGTAGTAACCATTATGAAAGAAAAGTAGCTGGGTAATAGGAGTTGAGGGAAGTTATTTTAATACAGCAATTTAGAGAAGAAAATTTAAATTTAAAAGCATTTCTTACAAATCTTGGTGGAGGGACAGCCAGGTTCAAGTTACTCAGTGAAACATCCAGTCCATTCTGGGCACATGCCACAAGACGCAAAGCAACAAAGAATTCCTGAGAAAGAAAAAGTATGACTTTTAGAGCATTATCTATCTATTCATCATTCATCCACCCATCCACAGACATACCTATAACTTGAAAATACAAAACAATTCATAATTACTACAAGGTTTTTACGTAGCAACATATAACAGCACAGTTGCTTGAATAACCCTTGCTTTAAAATTGAGAAAAGATCTATGTACAAAGATGTTTGCAACATTATAAATAGGAAAAAAAAAGTGTTAATAAAATGAGAAAATACTTATACATAAATATAGTGGAAATTAAAAATTAGTAATAATGTTTCAAAGAATATTTAATGATGTTAAGAAATACTTTTTATCATTTAAATGAGGAAAAGGCATCTGAAAGAAAAGCCCAGAAGAAAATAAATGTTATCAAAAGTTATCTCTGGATTTAAGATTATAATTTTTGAAACTGGGTCAATCATTCAAGTGACTCAATCATTGCTATTCCAGAAGGAGAATAACTGTGCAGCATCTAAAAACAATTATATAACTGCTTGACTTCAAAACACTTATAAATCTCTCCCAAAGGTCCTTGGATTTTTGGCATTTGAAGTATCAATCCAAAATTTAATAAATAAATGCAAAGATGTTGAAGTAACTGGTGTTCAGCTGTTTTCAGTTAAAGTCGGGTCTGGGAATAGCCATGACAAAATATTTGACTCTAGCTATATAACTTACAATTTGTCAATACTCTCTAGTACAGTTACTGGTACAATCAATCCTTCACTACTTTTCTCAAACCTATTCTCACTTATACCCTTTTTATACAATTCCTAACCTATTCTTAGAAACTTGCCTTCAACCATAAATTTCTTTTTAAAAATGCTATTTTAAGATCTCCCTTCTCTTTTTATTCATTCCACAAGCTCCTATGCCATCTGACTTCAACTACAGAAACTATTGTACTATGTCACAAATAACATCCTAGCTATCAAATGCTCTTAAAAGAAAAAAAAGAGAGAGAGCCTCCTTCTACTTGTTCTTTTGGTGGTCTGTGAAGCATGATCTTCCCTGAAGCTTTCCTCCCCTCACCAACATAACTTCAAAAAGATCTCTCAGTACTCCTCTGACCTTTCAAGTCTCTTCTGTTGAAGTCAACCTTTAAATCCTCCAACCTTTAAATGCTGGTATTCTAGGTATTCCAAAATTAACTCTCTTTCTCTTCTCATCCTATGTGAGATTGAATTACTCAGGTAATCTGGTCCACTGCCAAAGTATAGATGGACTCTGAAGTGAAATAGTCCTGCAATAAATACTAGTTCTGCTACTTAAAGTTGTAAGGCCATGGGCAAGTAAAATAAAATTCTTCCATAAAAGGGGAGACTAATAGCTACCCTATAATTATTATGAAGAACAAAATAAAAACTATATTGCCCTGACTAGTTTGGCTCAGTGGATAGAGCATCAGCCTTCGGACCGAAGAGTCTCAGGTTTGATTCCGGACAAGGGCATGTACCTTGGTTGTGAGCACATCCCCAGTAGGGGGTGTGCAAGAGGCAACTGATGGATGTTTCTCTCTCATAGAGGTTTCTCTCTATCCCTCTCCCTTTCTCTCTGTAAAAAAAATCAATTAAAAATATTTTAAAAATAAATAAATAAAAACTATACTATAGAAAGGAAACACCTACCGTCGTTTTTGACACATAGAAACTCAGTAAGTATAGGTTTCTTTTCTTTCTTTCATGTTAATTAAGTAAACCATTCTCCCAGTGCAACCATCAAAGTTTAACTGCAGACCCATAAATCCAGCCACCTAGATGTAACAAGACAACTTAAACTCAGCATCCAAAGTCCAGGAATATCAGTGAAGAATTTAATAAATGGTAAACTCATGAAGATAGGAACCACATCTGTATTTCCAAAGCTTGGCTCTAAACAGATACTCAACCAATATTTGAGTGCAGACTCTGGGTGCCCAAATGAATTTAGTGTTCCTACGTCTCCAATGTACCAAACTGGCCCTTCTGCCCAGGAGCTCCAATGGGGATTACAATCTAGTCCTGGAATCCTATATAATAAAATCCTAATATGCTAAGTATCCAATCATCCAGTTATCCATTCACAAATCAAAGCATAATATGCTAATGATATGCTAAGGCAGCTCAATCACTCACTATGATGTGTACTGACCACCAGTCACCCAGTCGCTATAACGTACACTGACCACCAGGAGTCAGATGCTCCGACTAGTAAGTTAGCTTGCTGCTGGGGTCCGGCTGATTGAGACTGAGTGCCCTGGAGTCCTTTTACGGTCCCTTCCTGGCCCCAATCATGCACCAGTTGTGTGCCGGTAGGGTTCCTAAGCCTGGCTTGTGCCCTCTCACAATCCGGTTTTGGCCTGATCCCAAAGGCCAGGCCAAAGGACCCCACTGGTGCATGAATTAAATAAGAGACATGGTATTAGGATCTTCTAAAAATGTTTCCATCCCTTTTCTGATCTTGATCCTGCTCCAGCAGGCCCCATGAGGGTTTGGGGGTATTAGCTTTTTTTAAGAGAGGGAGAGGAGGGTATTAACTTTGAGTAGCAGTGCTCAACTAATGTATCAACATGGAGCAAGCTTTGATTCCAATCCTGAAGAACTCTGAAATCCATCTCCAACAATCAGAACTTCAAAGTACACTGATAATGTCCAACACCAATAATTACTTTCACAAATTCCTGGTCTAGGATTTACACATAACCTGTAAACCATTTTATGGTTTATATGCCAGTGGTAAGATCTAGACCAGAATACTCTGGTTTGATCAGCCAAGAATTTCCTTCAAATGTATGAGGCATACCATCTTAACACTTAACTAATAAAATCCATGTTTATGTATAAACCCACTATCTGTAATAAATTCAATTAATTAAGATACAAAGAGCAAAATATCTCTGAATGACTGAAAAAAAAAATCCATGCTATTTATCTGATGTGTCCTACAAAAATCTTATGTTCAATTCCTAACCCCCAAAGATAAAGTTATTAGGAGGTAGGGCCTTTGGAAGGTGCTTAAGCCATTAGGGGGAACCTTATTAATGGGATTAGTGCCTTATAAAAAGGCTCGAGAGAGATCCCCAGCACCTTCTGGCAAGTGCAGATACAACTAGAAGTCTGCAATCAGGAAGAAAGCCCTCACCTGACCATGTTAGCACCCTAATCTCAGAATTCCAGCCTCTAAAACAATGAGCAATAAATTTGTTTATAATTTTTGTGGTATCCTATATAATAATCCTATATAATAAAAGGGTAATATGCAAATTGACCCTAAAGGCAGAATGATCAGAATGACTACTGGACCAGTCACTATGAGGTGCACTGACCACCTCTTGGTTCTTTTCCCCCGCTGGCAGGCTCTGATTGCCTGATGGTGAACAGGGAACCTGGGGTGGTGGATTCTGGCGGCACCAGGCCAAGGCCCTCACCCCGCAGGTTGCTCCACACAGAAGGCATCCCATGGCAGGGGCAGGGGTGGTGCGGCGAGAGGTAACAGCTGACCTCTCAGTCCCTTCTCCAGCCACCAGGCACTGATCACCCTAAGGTGAACGGGGAACAGGGGGTGGGTGGCGGCGGGGGGTGGGGCCAGCTGTGGGCAGCCAGGGAAAATGGCCCTGATCACTGGCCAGGCCTAGGGACTGTACCCACACAAGAATTTTGTGTGCTAGGCCTCTAGTTTTGTTATAGCAGTCTGAACATACTAAGATACTCAGGTAGAACAATGTCACCAAACTACCATTAACCTTTGGAAATTAGTTACTTTAATGCCTACTTATTAGAAGTATTTTCATTGTCTTATTAGAAATATTTTCATTGTTATTTGCCCTTGCAAAACCGTAATTTTGATAAAAAGCAACTCTTAGTTTAAATATACAAACAAAAAACTGCTGGCTTTTTTTTATTTTGAATCACTGAATTATTTTTTTCATATGAATCTTACTTGTTTGTTCAGGAAACCTTTGCCATCTGTGTCAGCTAAATCCCAAATCTGAAATTCAGAGGAAAAAAAGTATCAATCTATATTTTAAACAACAATAATCTTAAAAATAAATTAAATCCATGCAATTTACAACCTTGTGCTCTTTGGTAATCAGATTTAAGAATTACAGAATTAAAAGTGGAAAGAAACCTTAAAGACCATTTAGTTCAAATACTAAGGCCATTAAAGTTACTCAAGAACATTTAAGGCATCATGAAAAGAACTGAAACCCAGACTCTTAACTTCCAATCCACTGCCCTTTTCATTAGTCCAGGTTCTAACTCCAAATCTCTTGCTCTTTTTAGTCAACACATACTACTTTGATTTTAGATCCTTACTAAGATGATACCTTCCTTATGGAGAAGTTGTTTATTTGTGAATAATTAAATTATTAATGATAGTTTTTCAGGGTTTCGAATACATATCATGTATAAGGACTTGCCAGGAGATCAAGCCGGCAGAGGGACTTTCCACCTTTTTGTGCTTTTTCTTAAGCCTCTCATCCCCCACTGTATTCACCACATACAAAGCACAGTTGGAGACAGTTATAATAGAGGAAGTAGAGATAGAGCCAACTCTCTGAGTGGGTGGCGAGGTTCCCAGTCTGCAGCACTGTTTCTCCCCACAATACCCAAATGTACTATTACTTCATTTCATCCCACTAAAATGTAATTTGTTTTCTAAACATCTGAAAAACACCTTACTTTTCAAATTCTCTCCATCGCATTACTATAACTGCCTCTATGACTCAGTTCTAACTTCTAAGTTTCTTAATGGGATCTTTCTGAATTTGTATTCAATTTATCTACACTGCTAACTACTCATTATAATCTACTTATAATAAATAAATACTACCTTTCCAAGTATCAAGTCTGGAAGCCCTGATTTTTTCAGGAAAGCAGCAGCATCAGAAGCTAATACCCTTCCAGTATTGGCTGTATCAACCTGAAAAAATACAAATAGTAAGCTGACAACAAACACACAGACAAAATTATTTGTGTTCCTTACTGAGATTTTAGAACTGGCTTTTTCAAAAAGGGAATGGGAATACACGCATAGCCATCTAGACAGCATTGGCAATTTATAAAGTGTTTTTTATCGTGTCCATTATACAAATGAGAGAACTGAAGCTCAGAGGAAATAGAGCAAATTAGTGGAGTCATAACATTAATACATTATCTCCTGACTCGAAGTCTTCTATAGCGCCTTTTAAATTCCAACAAACTTAAATGGCAATAGAAGGAAAAGGGAAGCATTTCCTAGAGAGGTCTTAGCTGCATGTGTTACCTGTTTTTTTCAAACACGTTAAAATAATTAATTTCTGCTTTTAAACTTACTGTTAGAAACTACAATACTTTATTAAAAATCAAAGCTGCTCTAAAACCAGCAGTGATTCCACAATAAAATTAAAGAAACATTTTAAAAACTCTTAAGCTCCTAAAGCACATTAAGGCTAACACACCATTTCAACTAAGGGGGACTTTCCTTTAAGACAGAATGAGGTCACCAAGAACAGAAAAACAGTTTTAAAAAAATCACTCTCACTTCTGTAAAGATTTCCTAAAGTAAAGTTCAATTTTTAAAAATAAAAATCAAGTTTTAAAAAGGAATGGGAAAGATAACATGATACTACAATATTTATGAGCTGTTTTTCCAGTTTACTTAAGAGATTAATAAGTACATTGTAAACATATACAAAGCATTCCAGACAAGCCAATCCCAGCAAAGAAGCAAAAGAGAAATCTTTTCTTTCAAGTGCTCAGCAAAAAAGAAAGAATTACCCAATCCAAATTTGGGGTAACAAGGAAGTACAAGAGCTGGGAAACGGGCCTCCAGAATTTTCCAGAACTCCTTTTCTTTCCCCACTCTCTGACCATGGGAGGGGCAAGGGCAAAGAGAGAACACTTATCCCAGCATAGTCTAAATGTAGAGGCACTCAGGGAAAACATTAATTAATCTCTTATGAAATATTTGTGTACTGTATTCCAATTAAGAATTTCACTATTTCCCATTCTTCTGGTTACTGAAATGAACGCAGCCATTTAGTAACTGTCATACATAGGTAGTTTCTGTTGTACTCTGAGCCTCATCTAAACAACCATATCTTGTACTCTGAATTGTTAACACTTCAAAATACAGACTTTTGGGTAAAGACTTCTGAGATAATATCCCTTAAACAACTTTCAGACTGTACTGGTGGAAAGTCAGAATTTCCAGGACTCTTTGCAGTCTAGAAATACACAACTATACTAATAAAAGGGTAATATGCAAATTGGTTGGGATGCCCTCATGGTAATGACCAAACAGCAGGCTGTGTAGGCAACCAGGCCGGCAGGGGGGATAGTGAGGGACGAACAAACGACTGAACAGCAGGCTGCATGGGGTGACCACGCCGGCAGGGGGGTGGTAAGGGGCGATCAAACAACCGAATAGCAGGCTGCGTGGGGCAACTGGGTCACCGGAGGTGGCAATAAGGGGCCGGCAAGGGGAGGGGAGAGAAAAGCCGTTGGCGACCAGGCCAGTGGGGGGGCAGGTGGGGATGACCAGGCCAGCAGGCAGAGGCAGTTAGGAGTGATCAGGCTGGCAGGGTGGACAGTTAGGGATGATCAGCTGGCAGGGGGGCAGTTAGGGGAGATCAGGCAGGCAGGCAGGTGAACAGTTAGGAGCCAGAGTCCCTGGATTGTGAAAGGGATGGGTCCCAGATTAGAAAGGGTGCAGGCTGGGCTGGGGGATCTCCCTCCAGTACACAAATTTTGTGCACCAGGCCTCTAGTATTTTATAAAAGCAGACCCCTGACCCAAGATGAGGAAGAACAAGAATTATATAGGACTGAATGAATTGGTGAGAAAAATGCAATTATTGTTATTTACTTGAAATACTGTTGGCATTATTTTTAATATTGTGTTTTGTGATGGATATATGGGAAAGCGCCTTTTCCCCCTCCCCCTTCTTACACTATCTCTAACCCTCAATTTAATAGGCTCTGTGTTTGTAAAGTGAATGAAATAGTTTTCAATGGTATCTGATTTCACTGACTCTTCAGAGTTCAAAAATAAATCCTTTGCCCTGGCCAGTGTGGCTCAGTTGGATGTGTGTGTGGCTCAGTTAGGCATTGTCCAGTGCACTGAAAGGTCACCAGTTGATTCCAAGTCAGGACACAGGTCCAGGTTGTGGGTTGGATCCCCAGTAGGGGGCCTACAGGAGCCAGCCAAGAAGTATTTCTCTCTCACATAGAATTTTCCCTCTCTCTCCACGCACCTCCTCCCCTGTCTCCAGTCCTCTCTCTCTATCTCAAATCAAGAAAAACATATTTTATATAATAAAAAGCTAATATGCTAAGTGTCTGGTTGTCCGGTTGTCTAGTCATCTGTTCAACCAATCAAAGCATAATATGCTAAGGCCACTCAACCACTCCCTGTGACATGCACTGACTACCAGGGAGCAGACAGCTAACTGGATGACCAGTTGCTATGATGTGCACTGACCACGGGGGGCAGACGCTTCGACCAGTAGGTTGCTTACAGTTGAGGTCCAGATGATTAGGACTGAGTGAGACAGGCCAGACATACCCTGGAGCCCTCCCATGGTCCCACCCCAGCTGGCCAACCTCTCGCATCCCTCTCCAGCCCCAATTGTGTACCAGTGGGGATTCCTTAGCCTGGCATGCACCCTCTAGCAATCTGGGACCCCTCGGTAATGTCAGAGAGCCAACTTCAGCCCAACTGCAGAACAACCAGTCGCTATGATGTGCACTGATCACCAGGGGGCAGGCGGTCAATGCAGGAGCTGCTCCCTGGTGGTCAGTGTGCTCCCACATGGGGAGCGCCACTCAGCCAGAAGACGGGCTCACGGCTGGCTAGTACAGCAGCGGTGGCAGGAGCTCTCCAGCCTCCGTGGACGCGCTAAGGATGTCTGACTGATGGCTTAGGCCTGCTTCCCATGCGGAGCGGGCCTAAGCCATCAATCAGACATCTCCTGAGGGCTCCCGGACTGTGAGAGGGTACAGGCTGGGCTGAGGGACTACCCCCCAAGTGTATGAATTTCATGCACCAGGCCTCTAGTATATTTTATAAATCCTAGTGAATATCCTTACTTTTTATGGCAATAGAGTAATTTTTACATAGTTTAAATAAAAACTTGGTCTCCTTATTATCAGGATATAATTGAGTAATTTGATTGTACAAAACAAGACCATATTTTATTCAGACAGAACAAGCCACTATTAAGGAACAAGAAGTGACCCTAGCCACCTTGGCTCAGTAGATAAAGCATCAACCTTTGGACTGGAGAGTCCTGGGTTCACTTCTGGCCAAGGGCACATGCCTATGTTGCGGGCTCGATCCCCAGGAGAGGGCATGCAGGAGGCAGCTCATCAATGGTTCTCTCTCATCATTGATGTTTCTATCTCTCCTTCTCCCTTTCTCTCTGAAATTAATAAAGAAATATTTTTTTTAAAAAGGAACAAAAAGTGACTCTATGTGAAGTCAATGTCTACAGAGTCCTCCCAAGTAAAATGGCCTGCAACTTGATTTATAAGGTGCCAGTTTCTTAGAGAATAAAGCAATGTCACCTCACACATAGGAACTTCAGCAGATATGGGAAACCTCAAGATAAGATAAATTCACTCAAACTTGTATATATTGCTGGTGAAATATGGGGGTAGAATTTCTAAGGTTGGGAGCCTAGCCTCAAAATTGAGGAACAAATAAAGAGGCTTTATAGAGTACAATCTGAGATTCTTTAAAAATTTTAAGGAGAAATTAATCTCTGGCCTTAGTAGTTGTTAAATAGTGAATGTATGGCTCTAGATTTGCAAGTCACACACAAGGAGATCTATAATGGTTCATCAATGTGTTTGTTTGTTTGTTTATAACAAAGGTGGAGATTTATTGAAGAATAAGTACAGACTACCACGTGGTAAAGGGGAAAGAATCTCACAGCATAGACGCCCACGTGGGGAGGGGGAAAGAGTCTCCCATTCATGATTGCTCTAACATAGAGACCTACCTTTTCAGTGATTATGATCTAAAGGTGAGAGGATTATTAGGAAAAATTACTCAGTACGTATTTGGTAATGGGCAAATGAGATTGTCTACACCCTCAAGAGATTATCTGATCTATGGTATGTACTCTAGATTGACTTTCCATCAACTAGGCTATTTTACACTCTGTAGGGATACTGGTTTAATTATTATAAAATTGACAGCAATGCAAGTGAACCTTCTCCATACCAATGAAATGAATTTTGTCTGAAGAATATAAATGTCTATAACTCATATTCTCATTTTTACATTTTACTAGTTATCCCAGTAATTGAGTTGAATAAAATCCTTGACACATATTCATTTTACATTTGTATGAGTCATGGTTTTAACTTTATAAATATTAAAAACCTTAACAAGTCTTAAAAACAACTGTAAGTCATTTCCATTTAACTTATATTATTATGGATATTTATATTGGGATGAGTGCATCTAATGTTATATGGATTTTTAAGATACATAAATATTTGAGACAATTAAGTGTTTGGCCTTAATTATCTTTCCTTCATTTCTGAGAGTTTTTAAAAAGTATTAAGTACTCAAAACATGAGGCAAAGGCACAAAAAGTTGAAAACAAGACATGTCAAATTTATCCAGCTGACTCATAGTCTGCATGTATACAATTGAGGGTGAAAGTATATTTTATGTTCAATCTAAGAAGACAAAGAAAAATCTTACCTGTCTATAGTATTTTTCATATGTAGGATTCCCACTTGATAACTAAAATAAAAAAATAGAAATTAAATTCTATTCCATTATTATTAATATGTTTGCATTCATTCAATAAATATTTGGAAAAGTAAAGATAAACAGGATTAAAATATCCTTAATTTCAAAAAGTTAGTTTTGTTTCTTTTGGTAGGAAAATGGGAGTGAATAAAGACAGCTATATATAGATTACTAAGAATCAGATACAAGAAATAAAACAAGAATTTTTAAATTACTCTTGACATCAAAACTCTTTTCCTCATGCAAAATTTTATCCAAAACCCAACGTATAAATTAGGGGTGAAATGCTTAAAGACAGTTGAATGGTCCAAAGCCTTAAGCAGTCATCCTATACTCAAGTGCCCAAAGTACCTATAAATACAATTCAAAAACCACTTCAATCTTCTATATAATAAAGAGGCAATATGCAAATTGGTCCTAATGTGTCACAGTAACGACCAATTTGCATACTGACAGACCAGCAAGAGGCTGTGCGTGCAGCAGGGGGATGTGTGAGGCTCGCTCCCCTGCCCCCTGCGAGTCCTCTTTTTCTCCCCGGTGCATGCGCCTGACAAACACCCCCAGCAACACTGCGCCCTGAACGAAAGCACTCGGCCTGGGGTCACCACCAACCCCCCAAGTGCGGGGGCGCCAAGGGGCTACACCCACACGGCAGAAGGCCGGTTCTTGGGGGCAGTGGGCAGGCTCCAACTGGGGGATGTGCGTGTTGGCGGTGACCCCCGAGAGGAGTCGTGCATGCAAAGCGAAAGGGTGTGGACCCAACACAAAGAAAGGGCCCAGGCACGACGACAGAGTGGACGTCGAGGTAAGGCACCGGACCTGGACTGGCCACCAGGTAAACAACATGGGGATCCCACCGCCACGGACACACAGGGCGGCCCACCGGAGCCTTCCAAGAGGACAACTTTGAAGCCCCCTCCTGCCGCACAGACCCGCCCCGCCCCGCCGCCACCTTAAAGACCACAGGCGACCCTCACACCACAGGGAAGCCACCCCGGCTTTCTCCAGCCGTCCATCCATTCATCTGCCCACTCCGACCCAGACGGGGGCTTGCATCCTGGGCGGAACCACCCCAGGACAAGCTGGACCACAATGGAAGCAAACAGAGAGCCGCTCTAGGTGTGTGTGTGTGGGGGGGGGGGGGGGGGGGGGGGGAGGGGGGAGAGGGTAGGAAAGGCCTCCGGGTACCCCCACTTCAGCACTCAATGGGAGAAAAGCCTCGTTCCAGCATGGGCCACGGTAGGCAAGACCCGGCAGGCTGCGTCCTTGCTCAGCCCCTCAAAGCTGGTGCGAGAGGGGTCCCAGTGCCCGAACAGAAGCGGCTACGGGTCCCAGAGAGGCAAGAAGTCAGTACTAAGACAGGACAAAAAGCATAGAATTTTTAATTAGCCGGTAAAAAGAGTAAAAGAGTGAGGGAAGAGGGGGGAGGATGAGGAAGAAGGGAAGGAGGGAGGGAAGAACTTCATAAAGGAGTCAGTAGAGAGCAGAATTAAAGAAGAAAAGAGGATGTATGAGTGAACTGTAGCAGCTATAATGAAAATCAAGTATAGTTGTGTACTGGGGTACAGATTTTAAAAGTAGAGTCAGAAAAGAAAAAAGATAAATGATAGTGAATAATTAGGCAGGTAGATAGATATTAAAGTAAGTAAAGAAGTAAGTAGAGAAGAATGTATGGGAAAGGTCAAATGAGAGAGAAAGAGGGAGGGAAGAAAAGTTTTAAAGGGGCGCTGGTAGAGCTTAAAAGGAGAATGGGAAGAAGGAAGAAATGGGGGAGGGAGCAAAGCAGGTCCTAGGGAGGAAGTGAAGAAAAAAATTAATGTAGGAAGGAAGGAAAAGGGGAGGCTGGACAGAGGTAAAGATAAAGGAAAGAAGGAATGTGGTCAGGGATGGAGGGTAGGAGAAAGATGAGAAGAAGGATAATGGAACAGGTAGGAAATGAGGAGGAAAGAAAAGTTTATAAATGAAGAGCCAGTAGGAAAAAGTGTTGAGAGAGAAAAATTGTGTGAGAGGGAGAAGCCAATAAGGAAGTCAAATACAATTGCGTGTAAAGGGGATAAGATTTTTTTAAAAAAAAGTTAATTGGGGTGACCAGGATGACAGGGGAGGGCAATTAGGGGGCTCAGGCCAGCAGGGAAGAACAGTTAGGGGGATCAGGTCAGCAGACAAAGTGGTTAGGGCAGGCAGGCAGGTGAGTAATTAGGAGCCAGAGGTCCTGGATTGCGAGAGGGATGTCCAACTGCCAGTTTAGGCCCCATCCCACCTAAACTGGCAATTGGACATCCCCCAAGGGCTCCCGGATGGGAGAGGGTACAGATCGGGCTTAGGAACCCCCCACCCCCGTGCACAAATTTCGTGCCCCGGGCCTCTAGAAGAAGAATAAAATGGATGTACAAAAAAATGATACTATCACCAGATCTGAAATGCTTTGTACCACAGTTCAAAGGGTTCCTTGGTCAGCTGATGAACAGACTTATCATCTCATCTGAAAGGCAGTTTAGGAGTATCAGTGTTTGAAGGCTCAGGTTCACTTATACATGAATGTGTAGGAATGTTCTGGAACCAGGAAGGGAGTCCAGGAAGGCTTCATGAGGGTGATATTGGTGTAGGAATGTGAAGTATGAGTGTGGGGAGAGGGTGATTCTGTGCACAGGTACTAGCATGCAACAAAAGCATGCATGCAACAGAAAGCTCAATTATGTTGAAAAGAATCACAAGGAGTTCTGAATAGTGGAACAAAGTAAAGACAAGGTTGTAAAGTTTTGTTTCAGATAACTTATGAAGGACTTCAGCTGCATGGTAAAAATAAGGAAAAGGAGGGTGGAAAAAAGGGACAAATTCAAGAGTTATTTACTTAGTGTTAGTTCTAGGTGATTAGTTATATGTGAAAAGGAAGAGTACAATAGAATGTAGACTGCTACTTAGGAAATAAATTTAATGGCCCAGGGTAGGACCCAAACACTGGCAATAGCAAAAAAGAAAGATATGCTTTGAAGAAAAGTTTATAAGATGGATTTGTCAGGGCTTATTAAACAGATAAGGGGGCAGGAAAAACTAAGAAATACAAAGATAGAGAAAAATATTTTTAAGCATCAAGATTGAGACCATAATCTTTTTTCTTTTTTTTTTTTCAACATGGCCTATGGTCTTAATGGGTACAAGACTGGATTAAGAAACCAACATTCACTGAGTGCCTACTTTGAGAACGTATTATGCAAAGTACTTTATAAATACTTCCACACTTAATCCTTGTGAGCCACATATTATCATCCTAGTTTGCAAATGAGGAAACTTAATATGAAGGCTAATTATATGTGTCAATTTGCCTAGGCTAAAGTAACCAGTTGTTTGATCAAATACCAGTCTAGATGCTACTGTAAAAGTATTTTTTTAGATGTGGTTAATATTTAAATCAGTAGACTCTGAGTAAAGCAAATTATTTCCCATAATGTGGGTAGGCATCATCCAATCAGTTGAAAGTCTTAAGAGGAAAGAATGAGGTCCCCTGAGGAAGAAGGCATTCTGTCTCCAGAATGCCTTCAGACTCTCAACATTAATTCTTCCCTGGGTCCCTGCTGGATACCCTGAAGATTTAGGACTTACCAGCCTCCACATGAGCCAATTCCTTCAAACCAATCAGTGTGTGTGTGTGTGTGTGTATGTGTGTGTGCGCCTGTGTGCCTGTGTATTTATTCCCTGCTGTCTCCGTTGAACCCTAATACGTATAACTAGTCTCAAAGAGGTTACTTGTCCAAGCTTTTAAAAGGCAGAGACTGGACTTAAATGCAGGTCTGTCCCACTCCCAGCTCCATGCTCTTTCACAACAGCATGCTGCTTTCCCATAAGCCATGGTTTGCTCAAGAAGGTCTTGACAATATGCTGTCCTAGTATCCCATCCAGTTTACCATTTGTCTCAGATTTCTTATTTTCTTAAATGAACAATTATTATTAATCACCACATTAAAATAAGCCAAGATGGATTCAGTACACTTCTAAATGTATACATCTACCGTGTTTCCCCGAAAATAAAACATCCTCTGAAAATAAGACCTACTTACAGGTTTCCTTCTGAGTGAAATATAAGGCCCACCCCCCGGCTCTGTCTCAGAATGCTATTGCTAAACATGAGAGATTTGGTCCACTGATTCTGAAAGAAATGGAGTCACAAGAAATTCACCAGGCAATTCAGGAATTGGATTGTTATGATGATGTTCCAGAAGATGATGACATGATTGTCATTGAATAAATGAGTAAATTCTTGATACTGTAGGATTCACAGTTTGTCTGGTTTGTGTTGACAACTACTGTACAACAGTACCGTATACAGGTAATAAATTTCCTTTATTTTCTTTTAACAATAAATGTGTACCGGATTCTTCTTCATGGAAAAATAAGATATCCCCTGAAAATAAGACCTAGCGCATCTTTGGGAGCAAAAATTAATATAAGACTGTCTTATTTTCGAGGAAACAGAGTAGCTTCTGGCCAAGGTATCAGCTAATCCTGTGTAAGTGCTTTAATCATTTGAACAAGTGATGAAATCTGAAAGGGAACTAGTGATAATTTCACCTTTCTTTTCCTGAGTCTACAGACATAATGTAACTAACTCTTTCTTTACAAAGATAGCATGCAGAAAACTCACTGAGTATCCTCAGAGGCAAGCAACCATGGACTGCTAACTGCTTATAGCCTTTCCAGCCAGTGGGAAAAGTGTTTGACACTGGTGCTCCTGCTGGCTATTTGGTGTTCAATGACCTGCAAGAAGCACCAGGCCACCAGCTGGCTATCAGTGGGTAATTCCAAGTTAGGTGGGAGGAGTCAAGTCTGATAACTCTTAAGGTGGTTTTGTGTTTTTCTTATTTATTGTAAAGCATTAATCTACAATTGCTTATTTATTTTATTGTTTGTCAATCTATTTGACATATTATTATCTAATATGTCCTTTCAGTAGCAATGAGCTAAAATGAAGAAATTTTATATTTAATACAAAATTA